CGTGAGGAAATTGGTGGAGGGGAACCTACGTGTGGTCCTCCAGCCCTGAGAGTGCCACCAGCCTGGTCATTCCTGAAGTGGAGAGTGCCCAGAGCCTGGGGCTTACATGACACAATGGCTTTTATTTTTTTAAGTTATTTTAAGGTTTGAGGGTTTATTTTTTTTCCAAAGCATAATGTTATAGACGAGGACTTGGCATGTGGTGGGAAAAGCTTGTGTTTAGGAGTCTTAATCTGATTATAATACCAGCTGTGTGACCTTGAGCAGGTGACTTGATTCAGCCTCAGATTCCTCACCTGCCAAATGGAAATGAAAACACCCACCCAGCAGGGCTGGGAAGATGAGAGAGTGTCCCCAACGTTTAGCACACTGCCACCCTTGGCAGACATGCTCATTCAAGTCGCTAACGACCCTAAGTACATCAGAGTTAACAGTGAGCGTTTCCCCATCCCATAGCCCATTGATAACTCTCAAACAGGTGGGGGAGTACGCTTCCAGAATTTCTCTCTATATACAAAAATATGTACACATATAATGATGTTTGCTAATAAAAATGAGATCATGCCTTAATGTACAGAATGTTTGCATTTTTTTTCAGTTACTTTGTCACGGGCACCCTTCCATCTGGACATGTACACTGGAATCTTACCATTTTCACTTTTAGAGACTACCTAGCATTTCATGGTTTCTAAACGACTGTCCTATTGGACACAGGTTATTTCTAGATTTTTCACTATTATAAACTGTAAGAGCCCATTCAAGGAAGGTTCAGGAGGTCCATTAGAGGGGCATTAGTGCAACATCTTGTTTTCAAAGCAAGTTCTTATTTTATCATCTCATTTGGTTTTCACAGAAATTTTGACAGAAAGGTAAAGCTCCGTTTACAACTAGGAAAATGAATTTGTCGAGAGGGACAGATATCCCAAGGATCCCGCTAATCGTGGCAGAAGGGGCCTGGGACTGTCCCCTCCAGTTACATTTGTTGTGCAGGGGCTATAAATGCAGGGGCCTGCAGGGGCCAGGCAGGGGAGGCAAGCCTGCGAAAGGAGGCCGATCTAAAATGACAAGTGACAGTTGGCTCAGTGTCAAGGCAAGAATAGCAAGAGGTGGGGACTGTGGGTGAACGAGAGACATTCTTGGTCTCTTGAGACCAGACACCAACCACTTGACTGGTTGACATGCAGACTCATGGGCCCGGGGATTGCCTGAGCTTCCAGTCTTCAACAGAAGCAGGAAATGCTGATTCTTATATGAAATCTCCCAGATAACAAGTGTAGCCAACCAACGTGGAAATCTTCAGCCCTTGAATGCCGGATTGTGAGCCGTGCTTCAGGCCCAAACTTCATTTTCTACTTTCGATTATAAAACGGGAATCTGAAGTGTACCAGGCCGCGTAGCTGGTACCTGACACAGCGGGCACTTGGAACAAGCCCCCAGGCTCCTGCTGTCCCGTCGCCCTGTGAGGTTAAGTGGTCCAGAAGAGACTCATTTTGTGACTCGCCCTCCCGGTTCTGGGAGCCTTTTGTCAGCCTTCATTGCTGGGCTTCGGTGAGCAAGGCCTGACTCCGTTCACCTTTTCCTTAGCCTTCTTTGTATACATTTCTTCTGCTCACCCAGGCCAGAGCCTTGGACAGCATTCCCAGTGGGCTTGGGTGTGTCCGATGAAAATCACTGTGATTCCTGAAGACAGCTGTCCAGTTCCCCTTCACTTTTCTCCCTCTCCTCTTTTCCGGGACAGTATCATGGTTGAGAGTAGGACCACTAGAGTCACACTGCTTGGGTTCAGTCCCTGCTCTGTCTCTAGGTCGCAGTGTGTTCTTGGGCAGGTTGCTTTACCTCTGTGTGTCTCCCAGTTATCTGTAAACTGGAAGAAATGCTCAGCTTAGGAAATGTTAGTTGTTACACTTCTGTTGGTTTCCTCTCACTTTGCCAGGGGCTGTGCAGGTGCTGGTGGTACAAAGACCACACCCTTGCCCTAAAGGAGCATGACCTTGACCTAACTGTGTGCAGTGGTCAGCAAATTGCTGACTCTGGGGCAGAGGAAACTGTCAAGCTTTTGAGTTTTGCAATCATTCGCGTTCCCAGGTACCCGTAAGGCTGTGGTTCCAGATTCCTTTGGGATGCTGAGGCAAACTGCCCACCTCCCTTCCCTCCTGTCAAAGACTCGACTCGAACTCGTGACTGGACTATATCTGGTCTACAAATGGGAGAGAATCTGCTGGCTCTTCAGCACTTGCCCTGTGTGCCCAGCTTCCTTCCCCTCTGGAGGTTAACTTCAACCCAGGACCCACCTTCCCAGCTGAGAGGAAGATCCCAGCCAACTCTCCTGTGCCAGTGGCTCCCCGACTCTCCCCCGCTTTCCCAGCTTCCTGTGGTCCCGGTTCAAGAGCACTTCCCCTGGGGCGTCCCGGTATCCTTGTCGAGTCCCAAGGACCCCTCCTCCATCCCCTCGACCTATGCTGAGCATGCACCCCCGCCCCACTCCCAGATTGCCCCACTCTGGACCCATTTTGCTCGCAGTAAACAGGAAGTCATCTCTGCCTCTACTCATTTTCCCCAGGACGAGGCAGACATGGCAGATCGGCTGTAAGCCTGGAGCGGTTGCTTTAAATTTCAAAATTAAACTTTCACTTCTCCCCTTTTTTACCCCCATTAATTTAACATATTTATTGAGTGGCCGCTGTGTGCCAGGTCTTGCTCTGGAGACATAGTCAGTGATGAATGAGATGAAGTCCCTGCCCACACATCTGAGTGGGGGAAACAGACACTAAGCCAATAACCTCATTAATGAATATGGTAAATCTTGTATCAGAATGGAATGTAATTCTCTATGAGTGTAATAATAAGCTGATCCACCTCAACTAGGACTTCACTGGGCAGAACGTCAGGGTAGGGACCACGAGGGGCAAAGGCCCTGGGGCAAACAGGTTGGCAGTTCCTCACAAGTTGAACACAGAGTTACCTATGACCCAGCAATTCCACTCCTAGGTATATACCCAAGACATATGAAAACATGTGTCCACGTGAAAACTTGTAATGTTTATAGCATCCTTATTCCTAATAACCAAAAAGGGAAACAACCCAAATGTCCATTGACTAATGAATGGATAAACAAAATGGTGTATTGAATACTATTCAATGAATAGTACAATGAATACTATTCAGCCATAAAAAGGAATGAAGTTCTGATTCATGCTACAATATAGATGAACCTTAAAAACATGCTGAGTGAAAGAAGCCAGTCACAAAAGGCCATATGTTGTATGATTCCATTTATATGAAATGTCCAGAATAGACAAGTCCATAGAAAGTAGATTGTGGTTGCAGAGGTTGTATTCGTTTGCTCAGGCTACCGTAACACTGTGCAACAGACTGGAGGGCTTAAACAATAGAAACTTATTTTCTCACAGTTCTGGAGGCCGGAAGTCAGAGATCAAGGTGTTAAAAGGGTGGGTTTCATTCTGAGGCCTCTCTCCTTGGCTCGTTGATGACCCTCTTTTTCCTCCTCTGTGTGTCTATGTCCTGATCTCTTCTTATGACACTAGTCATATTGGATCAGGGCCCCCTCTAATGACCTCATTTTACCTTTTTAGAGATGGTGTCTCCAGGAAATTCCCTGGCGGTCCAGTGGTTAGGACTCTGTGCTCTCACTGCAGAGGGCCTGGGTTCGATCCCTGGTCAGGGAACTAAAATCCCACAAGCCAGGTGGCACAGCCAAAAAAAAGGTGGGGTCTCCAATAAGGCACATTCCGAGGTTGGGGGGTGCGGTCTACATATCAACACCAACATATGAACGGGGGCACAAGTTAGCACCCCATAACACGAAGGAATGGGGGGTGACTGCTAATGAGCACAGGACTTCTTTTCAGGGTGATGAAAATGTTCTGATATTAGAAATTTGTGCTGATGAATGCACAAATTTGTGAATACAGGCACACCTCGAAAATACTGCAGGTTTGGTCCGGGACCACCACAGTAAAGCGAACATCACAATAAAGCCAGTCACATGAAGTTTTTGGTTTCCCAGTGCATATAAAAGTTACGTCTGTGCTATATTGTAGTCTATTAAGTGTGCAATAGCATTATGTCTAAAAACACAATGTTCAGACCTAAACTAAAAAATCTTTTATTGCTAAAAATGCTAACCATCCTCTGAGCCTTCAGTGAGTCATAGTAGTAACATTGAAGATCACTGATTACACTTCACCATAAGAAACATAATAATAATGAAAGAGCTTGACATATTATGAGAATTGCCAAAAGAGAATCGCCAAAATGTGACACAGAGACAAGAAGTGAGCATATGTTGTTGGAAAAACGGTGCCGATAGACTTGCTTGACGCTGGTTTGCCACAAATCTTCAATTTGTGAAAAACGAAATATCTGCAAAGTGCAATAAAACACGATATGCTTGTATACTAAAAGCCAGTGTCCACTCTGAAAGGACAAATTTGCCCTGGGGCAAGAAGGAGTCTGGTTTGCAGAGAGGGAAGATAAAGATGGGGTGAGTCGAGCTGGTGGAGATGGCAGGAGCCTCTCTCAACCCCATGAGCCCCAGTACTTCACTGGTCTGCTCCCTATACAAGACTTTGCCCTTCTCCACTGTGTCTGGCATTAAAACTCATTGTAAGGGACCCTTTCAAACTGGGACTGGGATTGGAATTGGGTATCTTTTAAACCTTTAAAGGGCAACTTCTGTTCCTCATGGGCTGTTTGCCATGGAGCATACGGACGCAGCTCTAGATAACCTCTTGCTTATTGTCACATAGTGTTTTCCTGTGTGTCAGGCAGGCACTGTTCTGAGTCCTTGTCAATTACTAAGTCATTTAGTTCCAGCAGACCAGTAAAGGGACTTCCCTGCAGTCCAGTGGTTAAGACTTCGCCTTCCAATGCAGGGGGTATGGGTTCGATCCCTGGTCAGAGAGCTAAGGTCCCACATGGCTCGTGGGCAAAAAGCCAAAACATAAAACAGAAGCAATATTGTAACAAATTCAATAAAGACTTTAAAGAATGGTCCACATCAAAATGAAAGAAATCTTAAAAAAAAAAAATCCAGTAAAGTAGGAACCATTATTCTCCCGCCCAAAGTCACGCTGCCTATGCAGATAATCAACGGCGGAGTCAGAATTCAGACCCTGGCAGCCTGGCTCCAGGGTCCACGCTGTTACCCACCCCACTGTGGGGCTCATAGCAAGCCTGTGGGTTAGGGCTTGTTAGCCTATTGCAGCCTCAATTTACAGATGAGGAAACTGAGGCCCAGAGAGGTGAACGACTTGTGGCTGGGGTTGGACTGTGAGTTAGGACACGTTGGGATGGTGTGTGGGCACGTGCACGGGTAAGGGACCTCGGCGCCCAGTGACTCACAGGAACAGAGCCTGGGGTCGGTGGGTCTGGGGGGAAGGTTGTGATGGGGAGAGGCCCCAGCCTCCCTGCTGCCTGTGTGCCCAGCCTCATCCCTGCTTCTTCCAGCTCTCAGCCCACCCCTGGGGGCGGCTCCTTGGCGAGGCTGCAGGGAGGGCCTGCCCAGCCAGGAGGCTCAGGGCCAGTGTCAGAGGTGCTGAAGAGACGCCCAAGGGGATGCCTGGGGGGGCAGGCACCTTCCTCCCAGCTCGGGGTGGGTGTGGCAGAGGCCCCGCGTGACCTTGTGGCTGACATTCCTTGGCGGCCACGTGGCCCCAACTGGCAGGGACAGCTGCGGACAGCGACGGACCAGCTTTGTTCGCAGGGTGGCGCCGGCTCTCCATCCAGGCCCTGCTCCTTCTGGGGGCTCGGTGGGCAGCTGGCACTCTGCGGCCCCCTCCATGAGTGTCTAGAGGCACGGAGCCACCAGGGTCTCTCTGGAGGGGGCTCGCGGCGCTGGGAGGATGGGGCAGGACCAGACGAAGCAGCAGATCGCGAAGGGGCTCCAGCTGTACCAGTCTAACCAGACAGAGAAGGCGCTGCAGGTGTGGACGAAGGTGCTGGAGAAGAGCTCGGACCTCGTGGGGCGTTTCCGCGTGCTGGGCTGCCTGGTCACGGCCCACTCGGAGATGGGCCGCTATAAGGAGATGCTGAAGGTGGGAGCGCCGCGGCCGGGCTGGGAGGGCGGGGCTGGGGCGAGATTTCTCCCAGGCCTCCCAGACCCCTCCCGCCTCCTCAGGCTCCCCTGTATCCCACAGGCTAGTGGCTGGGGCCTGAGGCTCTGAATCCACTGGGTCTTGGCTTTGGATTTGGGCCTGTGGCCTTGAACTCTGGTGTCTGAAGCTCTGAGACTGAGGTTCTCAGCCTCAGCGTTCGGGGAGCTGAAGGCCAGGTGTCAGAATCGAGGTTCCAGCCTTCCTGTTTGGGGTTCTGACTATGAGCCTAGGGGGCGCTGGCTCCAGGTTTGAGGCTGCGGATGGGTGGGTGGTGGAGACTGCAGACCTAGGCTCAGGATGGAGAGGTGGAAGCTGTGGGTCTGGGTTTGGGAGGTGGAGGCTCCTGGGCTGCAGCTTCTGGGGCTTCTGGGACTGGGGAGCAGGGAGCGCATCTGAGGCCGGGGGTGGACGCTCTGGGCCTGAGGCTTTGGGCTGTGAGGCTTGGAGGGACGGAGGCTTGGGTCCCAGGCTCAGGGTCCAGGCTGACGCTCCCGGCCTGCCACCCTGGCGGGCAGTTTGCTGTGGTACAGATCGACACGGCTCGGGAGCTGGAGGATGCCGACTTCCTCCTGGAGAGCTACCTGAACCTGGCGCGCAGCAACGAGAAGCTGTGCGAGTTTCACAAGACCATCTCCTACTGCAAGACCTGCCTCGGCCTGCCCGGCACCCGGGCAGCCACCCAGCTCGGAGGCCAGGTCAGCCTGAGCATGGGCAACGCCTTCCTGGGCCTCAGCCTCTTCCAGAAGGCCCTGGAGAGCTTCGAGAAGGCCCTGCGCTATGCCCACAACAACGATGACACCATGCTCGAGTGCCGTGTCTGTTGCAGCCTGGGCAGCTTCTACGCCCAGGTCAAGGTGGGCCCGGCCCCCCAGGGAGGGCGGTAGAGTCTCGGGCTCCCTGAGAATCTCCCGTGAGCCACGCTCCCTGTTGCATCACCTCATTCAGTCCTCCCATTGAGGTAGCGATGAGGCAGACGAAAGCCTGGGAGGGAAAAGACAGCCAGGAAGTAAAGACATGGCCAGGCAGGGCAGAGCCAGAATTCAAGCCTTGATCTGTCTGACTTCCTGGGGGAATGGGAAGCTCCTATGTGAGGACAGGCCGTGAACCTGTACTGCCACGTGTTTGCTGTGTGATCTTGGGCAAGTCACCTCTCCTCTCTGAACCTATGAAATGAAGGAGAATGAAACCCACTTTACAGCGTGGTTGTAAGGATTCATTCATCAGATATGTACTGAGCATCTATGATATCCCAGACACTGTTGGCCTAGGGTGCAACAGTGAAAACAACAGCCAAGTCCATGGGTTCATGAACCTTGCATTCTAGCTGGGGGAGAGACACAAATAAATGCAATCAGCAAATCAAGTATACAGCATGGTGGAAAGTGCCTAGGAAAAAGGTGAGCAGGGAAAGGGGGTTAGAAGTGCTGAGGATGAGGTGTTGCAATTTCAAACAGGGTGGTTGGAAGGCCTTGTAGAGGTGATGTCTGATGTCTTGGAAGAAATGAGAGGGTGAACCATGCAGAAATATGGCAAAAGAATGAAAAAGAGGGAACAGTTAAAGCACAGCTCTGCCCTTGGGGGACCTTACCCAGTATGTTCAAGGAAGGATGGAGGCCAGCAGCATGTGTGTGAGAAGAAGGTAGGCGGTGGTGGAGTCAGAGAGGTAAGGGGGAAGGGAGATGGCAGATTGAGAAGAAACTGATGGGGTCAATGACCTCAGACTTTTGGTCCTGAGCATTTGCTCTCTTTCCCCCTAGGCATCTAGGCCCATGGGGGATGTTAGTGCCTGGCACATAGTAGATGCTTAAAAAATCCTGGAGAGTGTAAATGCTGATGAATCAGAGGTGGAAGTATGAGGAAGTGAGAGTCATCCACGACCACACTGAGGATTTTGTTTTCAGCAGCCAGATGTATGGGGAAGCCATTCAGTGAGATGCAATAGGATTGGAGAGGGATAGGGGTGTTTTATAACCTTTTTTATTATGAAGAAAAGTAACCATGCAGGAAAGCAGAATAATATAATGAATCTCCATATACCCACTACTTAGATTTAACAATTATTAATATTTTGCCATATTTGACTTACATATTTTTCACTGAAGTGTTGTGATACAAAATTATAGACATCATAAAAAAAAAAAATTATAGACATCATGATTTTTTTTTTTTTTTTTTTTTTTTGTGGTACGCGGGCCTCTCACTGTTGTGGCCTCTCCCGTTGCAGGGCACAGGCTCCGGACGCTCAGGCTCACAGGCCCAGCCGCTCCGTGGCTTGTGGGATCTTCCCAGACCAGGGCACGAGCCCGCGTCCCCTGCATCGGCAGGCAGACTCTCAACCACTGCGCCACCAGGGAAGCCCCATCATGATATTTTACCCCGAAGTAATTCTGTATGCATTTCTGAAAAAAAAAAAAAAAAGAAAGAAAGAAAGACCGTTTTCTGATATAAGGACACTTTCTTACATAATCACAATACTATTTATCACACACACCATATTGAACAATTATCTCTTAAATTTCTCTACTTATCCTGAAAATATGCCTTTATCCTCGGCTTGTTTGAATTGGAATACAAACAAGAACCACACATTGCAGTAGTTATTATGTCTCCCGAGTCTCTTTCTATAGAGAATTCCTACCCTTCCCTTTATTTTCCATGGTTTATTGAGGAAGCCGGATTAATTGCCTTGTAGAATGTTCCATCTCATTGTCTCATTGCTTCCTCAAGGAGTCATGTAAGTTGTTTCTTTGTCTCCATGACTCTCTATGAACTAGAACTTACATAATGACTTGGTAAGATTTAGGTCACGCATTTTTGGTGAGAATACAAGCGAGGCTGCGTGCTTCATATCACATCATATCGGTAGTTAAGGGAGTGACCACCTGATCCCACTGTTTTCATCCTTGCTGTCTTCCTTTCACGACCAGTAGGTTAACTTGTGGGGTGACACTTTGGCTTTGAATATTCAGTTCTGCGACAACATTTTCCGTAATGGTTTGAGCGTCCATTGATGTTTGTTGCCTGAATCAATTCTTTCATTTCAACTCTCAGGAAATGGTGATTTCCAAGTTCTATCATGCCTTCTGCAATTATTAGCTGGGATTTTTCTATAAGGGAGAACTTTCCCTCTTTAACTGGAGCTAGTTGATTACGCTGAAATACAGTTCCTTAAGGAAAGGCAGAATAAACACTTTTCCCCTTTCCTTTAATTACCACTTTCCAGAATAATGAGTTGATGTGATAGTTGCCTTCAATGATCACACTTACTTGTTTTGCTTCCTCTTTTTGTAGTATCGTGAAATCATGGATTTAAAAAAATATTCAGTACTCGTCAGTCAGTTGCAATCATTGTTCCTTTTGATGCTCGTATTATCTTAATTTTAGTCAGTGGAATTCTCTTCAGTATGGCTACTATGTCCTTTTTTTTTTTTTGCGGTACCCAGGCCTCTCACTGCTGTGGCCTCTTCCGTCGCGGAGCACAGGCTCTGGACGCGCAGGCTCAGCGGCCATGGCTCACGGGCCCAGCCGCTCTGCGGCATGTGGGATCTTCCCGGACTGGGGCACGAATCCGTGTCCCCTGCATCGGCAGGCGGACTCTCAACCACTGCGCCACCAGGGAAGCCCTACTGTGTCCTTTTGACGAGACTTCATTTAGTCTTTGAAAGAAAGCATTCTTGTTTTCTGGCACAATAGCCTGTCCCACACTCGTTTTGTATACTGTCGTCCCTCGGTATCTGGAGGATTGGTTCCAGGATCCCCCAGGACACCCAAATCCGGGAGTGCTCAAGTCTCTTATATAAAATGGTGTAGTATTTGCATAAAATCTACATACATTCCCTCCACCCCATACTTTAACTCATCTCTAGATTACTTATAATAATACCTAATACAATGTAAATGCTATGTAAATATAAACTGGTGTGTGGCAAATTCAAGTTTTGCTTTTTCGGAACTTTCTGGATTTTTTCCCCCCAATATTTTCAACCCTCGGTTGGTTGAATTCAAGGATGTGGAACCCTCGAATCCAGAGGGCCCACTCTATTTCCTGCTCCAAACCTGGAGCCAGCCATTCCTCCGGGTCCTTTTTTAGTAGGAAATGGTATTTAAAGACCAAACGTGGGCTCTCAGGATGCTCGCGGCTACTGGGTTGTTGTTGCTAGTAAATCTCTTCTGTTGTGAGGACAACAGGACGTTATACTGATATTTCCAATTCAAATCCAATGTTTCAGGATTTTCCTTAATTTATTTCAGACTTGATTCTCTTTTCTCTTAGACTGAAAATCTTGGTTTCTAAATATTTACTTTATCCTACAAAGTACATAAAAGAATTTCAAAAGACAATACCAATATTGTCTTACGCAAAAAAAAAAAAAATGACGAATGAGGTTTGATTTCTTTGCCATTCTTTTGTCTTTATAATATATCCCACTATGACTGAACTGTTCAAGTATATATTTTAAGGTCCTTTGAAATAATAACTTTTCTGTATGGCTATATTAATATATAACATATATAATATAATATATAATATATTAATATATATTATAAAACAATCATAATATACTATGATAGAATATTATAATATACCTTGATTGTATTATAATATATACTTATGATTAGAATTGATTATAATATTAATATAATGATATACATTAAGGTCATTTGTTTCCATTTTCTATTTTTAGGGTTTTTAAAATTAAATTTAATATTTTAAAGTCTGTAAAACACTTACATGGCTTCAAGTTAAAAAGTACATAGTAGGGACTTCCCTGGTGGTCCAGGTGAGACTCCGTGCTCCCAATGCGGGGGCCCCCAGGTTCGAGCCCTGGTCGGGGAGCTAGATCCCGCATGCGTGGCGCAACCGGGAGTCTGCAAGCCCCAACGAGGATCCCGCGTGCCACAGCTAAGACCCGGTGCAGCCAAAAATAAATAAATAAATAATAAATTAATAAAAAGTACATAGTACAAATTAAGTATGTTAGGAACAGGTTTTTATTGGGGTTACCGAGAGTTCTCTTTTGGTCATATTAACTTGTTAGATATTAAATAAAAATTCAAATAGGTTTTCTACAAGGAAGAACAGAGAAGTGGGGCTGTAGCTAAATGGGACATGAGGTCAAAGAAGGTTATTTGATTTTTTTGTTTTGTTTTGTTTTTCAAATGGTAAGAAATGCCAGGCTATGATTTTACATTGATAGGAATGATTCAGTAGAAAGAGACTGGGGAGGGGGTTCCAGAGCCCACATGGAGGGGGTCATATTTAATTTGATAGGAGCAGGGAGTAGCAGGAAAGGAGGCAGTGTGGGAACAGATCTGGTGGGTTTGACGGATAAGGTGGATAAGGGAGCTCCTCTCTGATTTTCTTCTCTTTTTTTAAAAATAGTTATTTATTTGTTTATTTTTGGCTGCGTTGGGTCTTTGTTGCTGCGCGCGGGCTTTCTCTAGTTACAGCGAGCGGGGGCTACTCTTCGCTGCGGTGCACGGGCTTCTCATTGCGGTAGCTTCTCTTGTGGAGCACGGGCTCTAGGCGCACAGGCTTCAGTAGTTGTGGTGCACAGGCTAAGTAGTTGTGGCATGCGGGCTCAGTAGTTGTGGCTCGCAGGCTCTGGAGCGCAGGCTCAGTAGTTGTGGTGCACGGGCTTAGTTGCTCTGCGACATGTGGGATCTTCCTGGACCAGGGCCCCTGCATTGGCAGGCGGATTCTTAACCACTGCGCCACCAGGGAAGTCCCTCTTCTGTTTTCTTAATGGTGCATGCATAAGGTGAGCTCATGTGCTAATAATGGACAGGTTGAGAAGACATTTGGAAGTCTGAGGAGAAAGAAAGGTGAGAGGATGATTTCTTTGCCTCAGTGGGTCTGTCCCAATGTTTTTTGAGCTGACTGTGCTGGCAGTCACCGAACATTCAGTGATGACTGGGTGCCAGGGGGCAAACTCCAGTGGGGTTGGAGTGGGCTCTGATATCCCCACCACCACCCTTCTGTGTGTCTCTGAAGCCGAGGGGCCCAACTGGGACTGGGTGAGAGGAGAAGCCAACTGTATTTTCTTCCTTCTCATTCATTCGTTCATTCATTCATTCAATAAATGCTTTAGGCTAAGTGCCAGGAACTGTGCTAGGCTCTTGCCATACATCGGCAAACCAGATGAAAACCCCTGTGTTCATGGAGCCCACACCTGTGCACTGGCTGTGGCCTCTGTCTGGATCACTCTTTCCCTGGACACCAGAATGAATGCATGAATGAATGAACACGCGGTGGAGCGTTCCACTTGGGGCAGCTCCTGCCATTCAGTGTGCCCCCTCCCAGCCCACCCCCTCCCTGTGTCCCCTGCAGGACTACGAGAAAGCCCTGTTCTTCCCCTGCAAGGCTGCAGAGCTCGTCAACGACTATGGCAAAGGCTGGAGCCTCAAGTACCGGGCCATGAGCCAGTACCACATGGCTGTGGCGTATCGCCTGCTGGGCCACCTGGGCAGTGCCATGGAGTGCTGTGAGGTGGGGCAGCAGGGAATGGGGGCAGTTAGAGGGTGGTAGTGTAGGCAGGGTCTGGGCCCAGTGCCTCTTCCTGCCAACTCAGCCCACTGAGGCCCCCAAGCCTTGCCCCTGGCCCCTCCTCTCTACAGCTGAGCCCCTGAAGGATGTGTTTGCTCCCCAGTCCCCCTGCCCCAAACCTCATTCCCTTCTAGTCTGTTTTCAGGGGAGAGCACTTCCTTCTGCCCCCCAACCCCTGCCAAAAAAAGTGCCCTTATGGGGCACTTTTAAGTAGGAAGAGAGCCAGTCTCTGGAGTTCCACTGATCTGGGTTCGAATCCCAACTTTGCCACTTAATAACCTGGTGACCTTGGTCAAGTCACTTCTGTTCTCAGAGCCTCAGTTTCCAGTGCTGTCAGACCTCAGTGGTTCAGTGCATGGGCCTCAGCACCATGAAAGGTGTATTGGGCTCTGAGGATGTTGGTGACCCTGGACTGCCCATCAGAGGGGCCCAATGGGTGAAGGCACCCCAGTGGTGGGGGGCAGACGAGCAGGTCTGAGTGACCGGCCTCTGTCACAGGAGTCTATGAAGATTGCACTGCAGCATGGGGACCGGCCACTGCAGGCACTCTGCCTGCTCTGCTTTGCTGACATCCACCGGAGCCGTGGGGACCTGGAGGTGAGGTCACCGGGATGCAGGGGGAGGTGGTGCGAGCCTGGTGGCCTGGCCTGACTCCACCCCTGACCTGGCTGTGCAGACAGCCTTCCCTAGGTACGACTCTGCCATGAGCATCATGACCGAGATTGGAAACCGCCTGGGGCAGGTACAGGTGCTGCTGGGTGTGGCCAAGTGCTGGGTGGCCAGGAAGGCGCTGGACAAGGTGAGGTGGACCCCTTTCCTGCAGCTCCCAGCTCTCCCCAGTGCTCCCACTTGAGGCCAGTAGGTCAACCAACAATGTGTGGGTCTGGTTCTGGGCTGGACTCTTTCAGACACTTTGTCTAACATCAGCCTCACCCCAGTCCCATGAGGCCAGGGGATTCCAGATCATTTTCCAGGCTCAGAGAAGGTCCATGACTTGCCCGGTCCAACAGCTGGTAAAGGGCTAGGCCTAGGGTTTGCACTCAGGACACTTTAACTGCCTCCTATGATTTCACGACACCTCGTGAAATAGGAATGTTCTTCCCACTCTATATCTGAGTAAACTGAGGCAGCTCTGGTGACTGTACCCCAGCCTTTTCCTCTTATCTTCACACACAGGGCAGCTGCCCACCGGTGCTGCCCTCCCCAGACCCACCCCTCCCTACCCCTTCCTTCCCTGTGAGCTAAGGCCTCTGTCAGACAGCGCTGCCTGCAGCCCTGGCCTGTGCTCACCTTCCAGGCTCTGGAGGCCATCGAGAGAGCCCAGGACCTGGCCGAGGAGGTGGGGAACAAGGTCAGAACTGAGTCCGTCTGCTGGGTCTGGAGTCAAGAGCCCAAGGTGGGATCTTGGGTGCGTGGGGAGGCCCCCCTGAGCCTGCTCCTGCGCTGAGCCTCTCCTGATCTCCAGGAGCCGCCCCCATCGTCCCCAGACCCTGGCTGTTTCTCTTCCACCCAGAGAGCACTTCGGAGGGCAGGGCAAGAATTCCATAGCTCAAGGGATATCAGAATTCCTCAGAGGTTTCTTGATGGTCATTAAAACTCCTAACAGTGGCCTCCACTCATACAGAGGTGGGCATCACAGGGCTCTTCTAGGTGTCGGTTCCAGGCCTCAGTGGCTCCCTGCAAGGTGGGTACAGCAAGCCCCATTTTACAAATGAGGAAAGTGAGGCTCAGAGAGGTGCTAACTCCAAAGCCCGTGTTCCTTTCATAGTATATGTGGCCCCTCCACATTTGATAATCATATCCAAACCTTTAAATGTTGAAAATAACCTCAGTGTTTCTCGAAGTCTTCTAGAAGATGTGCATTTCTCAGGGATCAGGTGCACAGTCCAACTGAACATGCTAAATATATGTGCCTTGGCTGGATGATACCTGCTCCGGTTTACTCAGATATCTCGGGCTCTTCAGAAGCGCTGATGAGCTGCTGTGTGTATTTAATTAACAGAAACAGGAAAGAAAATTAATTATTATGAGGTCAGTGCAGCAGGTTTGGTCAATAAAATCCTTCAAAAGCATGGAGTCCCCAGCGGGTTCTAGGAGTAAGGATCACCCATCTCACCTACCTCCTTTCTGTGTGAGGGGAAACCAAGGCCCAGAGAGGGCAGGACGCTTTTCCTAGCCCCACCAGCAAGGCAGGAATGCAGCCAGGACAGGACCCCTGTGTACTGACCACCCGGTGGCCCTGTGGGGACAGCTTCTTGGGCTGGGCAAGGAGGGAAGCAGGGCAGCTGCTCACTAGCACTGACTTGTCTCATCCCCACGTCCCGCTCTCCTGGCCGCACCGGCCCCAGCTGAGCCAGCTCAAGCTTCACTGCCTGAGCGAGAGCATCTACCGCAGCAGAGGTCTGCAGCGGGAGCTGCGCGCCCACGTCGTGCGCTTCCACGAGTGCGTGGAGGAGACAGAGCTCTACTGCGGCCTGTGCGGCGAGTCCATAGGCGAGAAGAATAGCCGGCTGCAGGCTCTGCCCTGCTCCCACATCTTCCACCTCAGGTGAGTGCCCCGCCGGTGGGCACGAGGCACTCGGGGCCTCCCTGGGGCCTAGTCACAATAGTGATATGAACAGCAAAGACTTACACAGTGCTTTCGGCATCCCATGCCCGTTCCAAGCGTTTCCTATTAACTCATTGAATCCTCCCAGTAGCCCTATGAGGTGGATGTTCTATTATTCTCCCCAAAGAGGGCCAGAGAGGCATCTCAAAGGTCATGGGATTTAGATGCCCAGGGCCAGAGCTGCCTCCATCACCACCTCCTGACTCCCAGCCCAGGCTCTGCCCTGGAGGCCTCCCCAGGCAGAGTACGAGGGGCCAGCAGGGCTGCTGGCAGGAGCCTGGGGTGGGGTGGGGCTGTGGATACCTCCTGCACCTGCAAAGGAAGGGGGAGGAGAGAGGGCCAGGCCCAGGATGGGAGGACAGGCCCGCTGAATGGACAGGGCCCTTTGCTTCCCAAGGTGCCTGCAGAACAACGGGACGCGGAGCTGCCCCAACTGCCACCGCTCATCCATGAAGCCTGGCTTTGTGTGACCCCATCAGGTGGTGGGCTTCTGCCTCGCCTTCCCTGCTCCTTCTCTAGCCTCACGCTGAAGGCCGCCCTGACCAGCTGCGCCTCCAGTACCTGTTTACTCCTGGGGCAGCCTCCAGGGCCTCCTCTGGCCTCAGCCAGGGCATGGGGCCTGCCCACTGCTGCTCCTCCAGGCCCAGCTGCCCTCCCCCACCTCTCTGTACTTTGCTCTTTACAGAAAAATAAACCGTTTGTACCTGGTCCCAGCAATTCTGATTCTCCCTGCCCGAGGTCTGATGGGTGGAGGAGAGTGGGAGTGAGGCTCCCCACGTGAGCTTCCTCAGACAAACATGTCTCTGTGCCCAGATGTAGGAGTTCCTCCAGCTGCCCTTCCAGGTTTGGGGGCTGCCACCGTGAGCCAGAGGCAAGATCCTGCAGGTGAGGAGCACCTTTAAATGCTGACATGCAGGGCTGGAGAGGAAGACGTGATGAACAGTAAACAGTAAACCAGCAAGGTAGAAAGCCTGTTAGAAAGGTGTTATGGACGGAATTGTGTCCCCCAGATTCATGTGTTGAAGCCCTAACCCCCAGCATGACTATATCAGGAGACAGGGCCTTTAAGGAGGTAATTAGGGTTAAATGAGCTCATGAGGATGGGGCCCTAGTCTGTTAGGACTGGTGTCCTCATAAGAAGAGGGGGAAACACCAGAGAACTCTCTCTCTCTCTCTGTGCTGCACAGAGAAAAGACTGTCTGAGGACACAGTCTTACTGCAACCATCTGCAAGCCAGGAAGAGAGGCCTCACCAGAAACCTGCTTTCCTGGCACCTTGATGTTGGACCTCCCAGCCACCAGAACTGTGAGGAAATACATTTCTGTTGTTTAAGCCACCCAGTCTGTGGTATTTTGTTATTGTGAAACTAATGGCAGAAACTAGCAGACTAATACAAAAGTGATAAGTGCTTTGGAACAATAAAGAATAGAGCAGCATTCTTCTTCCTCATCTTCATTCCCTTCTCTTCTTGTCAGTCTAAAACCATTAGGTGGGACAGAGCAAGACAGGCATCCATGTGGAGGGGTGGCCTGTTGTGGGATATCGGAGCCCAACTAGGTGAGGAGAGTGTCCACACAAGGGAAGCCCCAGTGTGGGGAGGTAGAGCCTGTGTGGAGAGAGAAGGGTCCCCACACACACGGGTGCCTCATCCTGAAGTGTAAGAGCCCAAGTAAAGGGAGAAAGGAGTTCACATGAGGACAAGGCCTGGTGCTGTGTATTGGGGCCAAGAAAGGTGAGGAAGACATCCATGCAGATGGGCAGTCTGGGAGCTGGAGCCTGAACAGGGCAAGGAGGGCAGCTATGCACAGGGCAGCCTGGTGTGGTGTGTCAGAGTCAGAGCAGGGTGATGAGGACACCCTGGAGGAGAAAGGCCTAGCATAGGCACCTGAGCAAAGTGAGGAGAGCATCCACGTGGTGGTGGTGGGTGGTATATGGTCCAGTGCAGAGTGTCAGAGACCAAGTCAGGTAAGGTGGGCAGCTGGCATGGGCTGTTGGGGCCTAAGTGGGCTAAGGAGAAACCCAAGTGGGAGAAGGTTGGGTGTGAGGTGTCAGAGCTTTCTTTCTTTTTTTTTTTTTAACTTTTTGGCCGAGCCATGTGGCTTGTGGGATCCTAGTTCCCTGACGAGGGAGCGAACCCGCACCCTCAGCAGTGAAAGTGCAGAGTCCTTACCAGTGGACTACCAGGGAATTCCCTGTTAGAGCTTGAGTAGAGCAAATAGGGCATGCACATGGGGCATTTGAACAAAGATGGATTGAAGAAGGATCTGTGCCTGGAAGGGAGTGGCAATGAGAATTTGATTACATAGAAGGGTTGATCAAATACGTAAACATATTAAAGGTAATGGGTGACAGATCACTATTGAAGAAGAGAGTTACAAATAAGGAAAGGAAGAAAACCAAAGGGACCCAGTCATATTGAATTGGAATTGTAGAGATTAGTGTGAACTATTGGATTTCTAAATATATAGCTTAATAGAGAAATAAATATAGTTACAAATGTGTGTGTGTGTGTGTGTGTGTGTGCGCAAACACTCGTGCCTGGGAGTGACATGCCAGGAGCAATAAGCACATCTAGCGCCCAGATATTGGCTTCTAAATACCATGTTCCACTAATAGAACCAAGACTCTTTGGAGAAATGGCTGATTCTAGGCCTGGACCAGGGAAATTACAAGATGAACCTGGAATATCTTATGTCAGAAAGCAAAGAAAGCCAAAAGAATGATGAAGATAACCCAAAAGGTCACAGGAGCCAGAATGAATGGGCCCATTAATAATGACTGTCTTAATCAGCTCAGGCTGCCATAACACAATACCATACACTGGGTGGCTAAAACAACTGAAATTTATTTTCTCACAGTTTTGGAGATTGGAAGTACAAGATCAAGGTGCCAGCAGGGTTGGTTCCTGGTGAGGCCCTCTTCCTGGCTTGCAGACAGCCACTTTCTCACTGTGCGCTCACATGGCGTTTTCTCTGTGCTTATGTATAGAGAGGGAGAGAGCAAGATCTTCCTCTCTTCCTCTTCTTATCAGGTCACTAATCCCATCATGAGGTCCCCACCCTCATGACCTAATTGAACCCTAATTACCTCCCAAAGATCCCATCTCCAAATACCTTACATTGAGGGTTAAACCTTCAGCATATGAATTTGGAGGTGGGGATGCAATTCAGTCCATAGCAATGATTTATTGGATAAAACAAGAATCCATACTGATGTAAATAAATAAATGAATACATTAAAAATTTGATGAAGAAGAATGGGATAGTTACATAGTTCCAAAGTACTTCCCCACAAAATAGTTATTAATTTCAAGGGGAAAACAATTAACCTCATAGTGGAGAAGGTTTGCAGATACGAGATTAATCAAGTGAGAAAGGTTAACATCTCCAGTAATGGGACAAAATGAAATCAACTGCTACCTGAATGAACGGAGTGAGAAACTCAGTATCTCTATTCCTGCAAAGATGAATCACCTGAATGTAAAATCATGAGGAAACACCAGATAAACACAAATTTAGAAATATTCTACAGAGTAACTGTAATCTTCAAAAGTGTCAAGGTTATGAAGCCAAGGAAAGACTGAGAAACAATTCCAGATTGAAAGAAACTAAAGAACTACAACTAAATACAATGCCTAATTCTGGTCTTGATTCTGGACTGGATCCAAGTCCAGAATCAGTATGTCCTTTAATGCTATGAAGGACATTTTTGGGACAGTTGGTGGAATTTGAATGCAGTCTGAGGATTAAATGGTAGAAACATATCAAGGTTAACTTCCTGATATTGAAGGTTGTATTGTGCTTAAGTATGAAAATGTCCTGGATTGTAGGAAATTCCCACCAAAGTATTTGAGGTGATGTGGTATCCCATCAGCAATTTTCCCACAAATGATGCAAGAAAAAAAATTATTTGCACTGTATTTGCAACTTTTCTTTAGGTTTGAGATTATTTTCAAACTAAAAATATATAATTAAAAAAAAAAAGAGCAGACTTCCTTGGTGGTCCAGTGGTTAAGACTTTGTTCTCCCAATGCAGGGGGAACGGGTTCGATCCCTGGTTGGGGAGCTAAGATCCCACATGCTTGGTGCGGCCAAGAGAAAAAAAAAAAATGTGGAGTTTTTGGGCTTCCCTGGTGGTGCAGTGGTTGAGAGTCCGCCTGCCGACGCAGGGGATACGGGTTCGTGCCCCGGTCCGGGAAGGTCCCATATGCCGCAGAGCGGCCAGGCCCGTGAGCCACCGCCGCTGAGCCTGCGCGTCCAGAGCCTGTGCTCCACAACGGGAGAGACCACAACAGTGAGAGGCCCGCGTATCGCAAAAAAAAAAAAAAAAAAGAGCAGCACAGGGTAAGGGGTTGAGGAGTGTGGGGACAGGAAGGACCCAGCAGGGCAGGCTGCAGCATTAAAAGGCTGTGAGTGTGGGTCTGGATGAGAAGGAGGTATTTGAGCAAAGACTTGAAGGAGCAAAGGTAAGGGAGTGAAGCAAGAAAATATCCTGGAAAGAACATTCCAGGAGAATGGAACAGAGTCCAAGATAGGAGCTGGCCTGGCCTGGTCACGGAGCAGCAAGGAGCCCTGTAACTGTGAGCAGGGAGGGAAGGAGTGGGAGTCGAGGTCCCGGAGAAAATCGTGGGAGAGCAAAAACCTGCAGGGCCCTGGGCCTTTGTAGGGATCTGGGGCCGTTGTAGAGACCTTGGCTTTTACTCTGAGTCTCGCAGCTGCTGCAGGGTTTTGAGCAGAGGAGTGACATGATCTGATGAGGCTTTAAGATAATTCCTTTGGTTGCTGTGTTGAGAACAGACTACACAAGACAACTGGCCTGGATGCTTCAAAAATGTTGATGTCATGAAAGACCAGAAAAGGTTGGGGGACTGTTCCAGACTAAAGGAGGCTAAAGAGACCTGACAACTGAATGCAGTGTATGATCCTTGACTTGATACAGGATTTTTAAAAATTTAATAATTTAATTTTATTTTATTTTTATTTTTTGCAGTACGCGGGCCTCTCACTGCTGTGGCCTCTCCCGTTGTGGAGCACAGGCTCCGGACGTGCAGGCTCAGTGGCCATGGCTCACGGGCCCAGCCGCTCCGCGGCATGTGGGATCTTCCCAGACTGGGGCATGAACCCGTGACCCTGCCACCAGGGAAGCCCAGGATTTTTTTTTAAAGGCTGTAAGGGATGTTTTGGAGATGACTGGAGAAATTTTAATATGGATTATATATTAGATATTACTGCATCAATATTAAATTCTTTAGGTATGACAATATATTATGCTATAATGTGTTGTAGTTACATATTAGAAGGTCTTTACTCTTAGGAGACACAAGCTGAAATATTAGAGGTGAAGTGTCATGATGTCTTCAACTTAGTTTGAAATGGTCCAGAAAAGCACACATACACAAACAGAGCAAAAGCAAATGCAAAATGTAATCAATTAGTGAATCTAGGTGAAAGATATACAGGTACTCATCGTCTATTCTTTCAGCTTTTTAATATACTTAACATTTTTCACAATAATAGACTCTAAGAGGTATATTCATCAGGGTTCTCCAGATCCAATAGGAGTCATATATTATATATATATAAAGAGATTTATTATAAGGAATTGGCTCACACAATTATGGAGTTGGGAAATCTCCATGGTCTGTAGGGTAAATTGGCAAACTGGAAACCCAGGAATGCTGATGGTTTAGTTCCAGTCTGAATCAGAAG